GACATCCCCACAGAGTCACTGCATGTATCAGGAAAGATACAGTCTGAAAATGGTGTCCTATTTTCAACAGCTGGTTCTCCAGAACCACACAAAATAGGAAAAATATGGCTTGTGAAAAAGTTAAATGTCTCAGGTCAATGTCTAGATATCAATTACAACACATCAATTTTTACTTCTTCACACACAGTACAACAAAAAGTAATTAAATAAGTAACAAAATAAATTTAAAATATTCATTAGGATTTCAACAGCAATACAAGTTTATAGCTCAAGATGTGATAAATATATTTTATTATCTCCATGTCCTATAGCAAGTATGGCCCACCTCAGATTCAGTCTAACACATTTATGTTGTGGTCTTCTGGGTTATGACACTGTAGAATTTGATCATATGTACCAATATTTACCATTAAAATGGAAGCAGTATGTCCCTCAAAACCATAGGAACCCACCCACCAGGCTACATGCTGTCATAACAAAATCATTACCATAAAAACCTAAAATAATTTGTGTTTAATACATATCTTACACCTTCAGAGTGACAATTATGTTCAGATTAAGATCTGCTACTACTTCCTTCAATGTTTCCTCTTTGATATGGATATCAGTTTAAGGTATCATATCCAATTAATGTCATTTTTATGTTTCTTTGTATATCTATAATGTATGTATGTTTCCCTGTGCAAATAGTTGATGGATAATTAACAATTTTGGAAACCTAGAATGTTTTGAGAAGCTCTTCAGATCATACATAGCCTCATCAAAATAGCTGCACTGGGTCCTAAGTAAAAATATTTTCCAATACTTTCAGATCCAATAATCAAAGACAAGAATTTCACACTGCCAACTGTCCAATAATATAAATATGAAGACTGGGCTTCCTGTCATTCACTTCATCCTGAACACAGAGACTGGTAATTTCCCCAAACATCGACACACCATGGTATGTCTGAATGCTAAGAAGTTCTTCACAAGATCACCTCACTGCTTGCAGTACTCAATGGACCTAAGTTTACAGCTTGTAATTTACAAGTCTGATTCTAATACTTGTCAAACTGTTTTCAAAAATATAAACTGGAAACTGTAATTTTATATCTCTGAGTTTTAAGAAAGACCGTAAAACACATTTTAGGCCAACTATCTATGTTCCATAACATTCAAATCTTTGGCTTTCATTGGTGTAATAGTATGTATATATATTATTACTAATGTTATTATTATTTTAACTGTTACATTTAATTATGGATATTCAATTACCAGAAGATACACAGGAGTTAANGCAGAAATCACAGTACATTTGGCCAAATACCTGCAGAGATTATTTCCCACATATATATATAAAAAAAATTCAATGTGTTATATTGATACATATTTAATTCTGTTAAGCATTTAATCCTTCATCATCTGATGTATTCAGTATGTCAGGCCTGCACATGACTTTCTCTGGCATACTTGGTACACTGGTAGGGTTACTAACACTGGGCTTTACTATCCATGACTAATACTCATATTCGATAAGTCTGGTATGCACTGAAATATGAAAGTCTCACATTTCTATTTTATTCTTCATAATTATTATTATTATTTAATTACATTCCATTAATCCATACAAGGTCAAATGACCTATAGGATATAGAAACTCTCATTATACATAGGTCAGATAAAAAGTAGTGGCAACATCTCTATAGTTCTGAAATGACTTTATTACCTGAGGTAAATACACTTATATTCCTTCAATATAATCGCCCCCCATGTGTTCCACCTTCTGCCAAATTTGTGGAATGCGTCATACACCATCAGCACATCCACTTCTATCAATGTCGAATAGTGACATTCCTATAGCATGAATAATCTCCTCTCTTGTGTTGTAACGCGTCCCTCGCAGTGGTTCTTTCATTTTGGCAAAGATATCATAATTGCGACTTTTCACTATAACCTACTACAGCTCTGACGGCCTCATTCATAACAACTGCATGGGCTGAATTTGTACTTCCTTCAGAGGTTTAAGCTTACTGTGGATGAATGAACTGTGCAGCAAAAGCTATTCATTCTTCCAAACATTGAATGTAAAAGTGTTAGCTTGTACAGCCTATGAAATTGTCACAAAAACGATTACACCACTGCAAACATTGTTGCAACTCCAGTGGCACATACTCTGAAGGTCTTAGACAACTCAAAGTATTTCAGGGGATTAATGGGGTCTTCTACATCTACAATTATGTGAGGCTTGCAAGTAAATGGGAAATGTGGTCGCTGAGCACCTGACTTTGCCCATGTGCCATACTGCATGCTACTGCTGTCACATACTTTCTTCTTCATCAGAGCTGACACTCTGTTCATCACGATGAAATTTTCGAATTTATTTCACTCTCATAAGTATCAGGACATGAATTCTCTTGTAACATTTCATATAACACATCCTCATCACTCACATGCATCTTCTTTCTGGGACCTGCCATAGTGTTTATTCACAAGAACTGAAACCCAGGAAAGCTATCAAGCAATCAGCACCTTCCTATCACACTCTGAAGTAACTAGATCTAGCAAGCACAACATACAAATTTGCATAGCTGACTGTCATTGTAAGTACAATGGTGTAGCTGGAAACATGCATGTTGTGTAGAGACATACCCATTTAACTGGTTAATTTGATGGGGGAACAGTGGAGGAATTGTGGGGAAATGTACTGATAGCTCCAACCTCGACAAAGCCTCACTACTTTATGCTAGAAATCAATTTTTTTTTTCTTTATACTGATTTGGGAATTGGAAACCACTTGTGCCATCTGCCAAGGCACATAGTTTGCAATACAGTGTGTAAAATATGCAATGATCAAACCAACAATATGACTTCCTCCTACTTACGAAAAATGCAATCAAACCAAGATGGTGGTTCCCAAAATGGGTCTGTGAACCCTTTGGGGCTATGCAGAATACTGTATTTTGGACAGCTCACAAGGAACACGTCATTAATATATAGCAAATTCATAAAACAAAACACAAAAATGAAAAATGTGTGGTGCTGCTCTATTTAGTGGGTCCATAAAAATGTATTTTCTTTATATAAAAGGCATTCTAGACCTCAGCACCGGGTAGGGGTTAATGCACCATCCACAGAGAACCAATCTCTGTTACCCACAGAGCTAGTCTGGATGCAGTGGTGATTAATAGAATTCCCTGACCCTCTAGGGAATCAAACCTTGGTTATCCAGCTTGTAGCCAGTTATCATGACTACTAAACTGTCTTAGTTCACAATTTCTTATAGTCCACTGAGTCATATAGTTATACTAGCTCCTTTTCATTTCAGGAGGAAATAAAAACAGAGTACCATAGTTTGTGTTGAAATGGATTAGTAAAACAGACATCTGAAAAGACAGAAAATGATACATGAGGCAGAGGTATTAAAATCGAATATAATGTTTTAAGTGGGAGTTCTCATAGTCAAGGAAAGGGGTTATGAATAAAACTTGGGACACTTGAACTGAGATAAATATTTCTACTTTGTATTCTAAACTTTCAGTCAACTTATGTGAAACAGAAGCATCGATTTATCTCTTGAGAAAAGCTGGTGTAACATGTATGTATGTATGTATGTACACTACATTACAGGAAGGAAGATTTAGTATAAATCTTATGATAAATGTAAGAGCACAGAAACTAGCTCTACATTGTCAACAAAACAACAAAGTTACAATCTGTGTTTGGAACACAAGTCATTTAGGACTTTATATAAACTTCCACCACAACACTCACTCATAAAGTGTTTAACATTACTTTATTCTACACATACACATATACTTACGATAAATAACCACTTTTACTGGTTTGTTGGGCCACACAGTGAGTTAAAGAAATGATACCTAAATTCAAGTCATATCCTAGTATGATTCTTCACAGGACAGTGACATTGGTTTATTCATGTGACTTTTATTATGTTGGCATATGTATATCAACATTCTGAGAATTAGTGCCACTCTCATCTTCAAGTGGCTCATTGCCACTATAGTAACAGATTTGTTAATTTTTTTATTTTGAATATTAGTATCCTAACTACTTGCCTAGTATTCACACAGGCCCTGAGTACAATCACAACCATTACCTTAAATATAATAATGGTGGAACCAAAAATAATGTGAGAAATGACAGTCACATTGACATGTGACAGATGAGCTAGTTATGAACACTAGCAAGAAGAAACTTAAGTCTTCTTTGTTCCGACACTAATTTAGCCAAGCAGGGCATTGTCCCTTGCCCAACAACTTCTTGACTATCATGCCATCATACTGCTAGAACTGCCATCCATTATAGCCTTGTCCATGACTTTAGCCTGTCTGTTTTTATTTTATTTTTTCTGATATCCATGTGACCAGTGATATACTGATCATATTTTGTCATCTCATGGCAAAAATATGGAACATTTTCGCAGTTCTGCCAGTTAGATTAGTATGCTAATTGGTATGCACTGGAGTCTATACCTTGGGTTGCCTGCCTGTATACATTTGGAGTGTAGCAGATGTCTTGATAGCTCCTTAGTGCATAGAATGTGTTAGAAGACAAGAACATTACCTCGACATTAGGATGACTGTTGCAAGGTCATTAATATTTTCCTGTGTTTGGCAAATAACAGTTTATATTACTTTTTGCGAAATGAGTACCAGGAATTAAATAAATAATTTTCCTGGGGAGTGAAGCATGGCCGGCGCATAAGGCTGACAACCTTACTGCCATCTTTGAGCCGATTGTCAAGGTAATGTGGGACCCTTAACGTCTCACAACCCTATGGGCCTTCATGGCCTGTTACAGGGATAGCTTTACTTTACTTTTTTCTTTATATATGTAAATTGATTTTTGGTAACATTTTACTGTGTTCATTTCTGATCCCATAATATTAAGTTTCTTTCATTCTGCATTTAAGCAGTAAGAAAGTGAACACAGAAATGAACTTCAACAGTATAAAAAATTCAAAATCAATAAAACAATTATTTTAATTTAAAATTCAGATGGGTTCTAAGTTCAGTTACTTCAATAGCAGATGCAAATTCAGGGCACATACATCAATCCTTCAATCCTGTTGCTGACAGTTGAGAAAAACAGTAAGCCAACAGCATATCAGCCAATACTTGCTTGACTGATTGAGTGTGGACACAAGTGAAATACTGTGGCATGTAGACCCACTGCAGGGCAATGACCATGAGATAAGCAAATATACAACAGCTGTTACTAAGTAACAGCTCCACAAACAAGCATGTTTTCACGGCAACAACTGGATACAATACAAGTAATGGTGTTTTCTACGTGATCCATGCAGGACAAATCTAGAGTTAGTTGAGAGTTGCTGTAGCTGAGGCCAGGAACAGTTTGGAACCCAGAGGATGGGGAATGTCCACCACTGGAAGCCATTACCTGAAGACTGGTGAAGACAGTAGGGCAAGAAGATTTAAGTGTGCTCTAGTGAACTGTAAAGTGTGTGAATTAGTGAAACAGTTAAAATTACTTGTAGTTACACATCTGTAAGAGTCCAATAAATCTGACTTCTGATCCACACCCTGTCTAGTCACACTCAGTCACATGACAATACACCATGTATCTAAAATTATGGTACCATTTTCAAGTTTAGTTATTTTGTTAACAATTAGTGTTGGAAACACTGAATGAAGCATGAAATGAGAGACCCTGAAAATGTATCAGTGTTACCCATGAGGGTCAATATGAGTCGCTTTGCACACATTCATTTTGTATTCCAAATCCTGTCATGGCTGAATGAGTACTTCTGCAGTTACAGGTATGTTTCTGATTCTTCACTTCATATGGTCTGTGTCATAAATTTTCATCCTCAGCACGAAAGTTTAATATAATCCCATAAGCAAAAATGTCAGAGTTCAAGTTGGCCAAGGTTTCAAGCATCCTCTCACAATCCACCATCTCATATAGATTTTCATGAATCCCTACCCAAGTTCGAAGTTTATACTATGACAAATGGAACATAACAGATCAATTGCTCTCCTCCCCTCCCCTCCCCCTTCTTTTATATGAAGATTCATCATATAAGTATAAATGAGCATCTTTCGGACTGGTGAACTGGGAGAGGTTCAACATCTTGGCCACTTTCATTTCTGGACCTAACTCCACTTTCACTTGACAAACACATGGGACCATATACAACAAGCGGTATCAAATGTGAAAAATCAATGGCCATTAAAAGGGAACAATGGGAGATCCTGCTGAGTTTGTACTCCGAATGTTCTCACTTAACTCTAGCAAGAATCTGAATATTGATAATGTGTGCAAAGGTAGTCAAATGAGCCTAACAATGGACTTCACTAACACAGGTGAACCTTCACAGTTTTTATAATATTTTTTGCTTTTCTTCAAGTTTTCAGCATTAATTATTACAAAAAAGCAAAACTTGGGAAGTACGTCCCAACTTTACAGACACAGTTCATCTGTATATTTCCTTCTCTTTCTTTCTTTCTTCTTGATGTTACTTTGGAACAACCTTTATATCGTATTAAAAAGGATAAAATTGTAACTATGGTTCATAACTTTAAAAATTAATCAATAACCCTAATCAATTAGCACATCAATGTTGGATAATTCATATTACCACAAGTTTTGTTCCATCCTAGGATTTCTGACAATTGTACAATCTAACAGTGACCGCATCAACAAAAACCACATTTGTTTTGAAGATACAGAAAGGCTAATCAATATACCATGGATTCAATACCTAAAAGTAATACCATTTTCAACCTCAGGCCCTGGCATTTAAACATACCTGCAATTAACAACCATAAGTTCACTCCACTGCATAGGAAGACATAACACTGGAATGTATCACACACAAATGCAATATGTTCCTATGGAGAAGTCAGTAAATATGGAATGTGAAATAAATAACATGCACTGGGTTCCAACAACAATGATTCATGGTACAAATTTGTACTAGCTCATCTACTTAAAAATTAAGTATGCCTCAGGAAATGACACAGCAACGTTTGGGCTTGGGGTCACCCACAACATCATCTGTGTCTCCAGTGAAGCGCTGCACAGAAGGCATTGGACTGCTTGCAACTGAGGAGATGGGTGAAAGACCTGTTGTGACTCCTTCTGGACTATTGTTGCGGATCTGTGATCGCTGTTTTTTGAGGTCAGCCAGTGTGCCAGCATTTATTGTTACAGATACGTGAATGTTGATGTTGCCATTACCTCCAGTTACATAACTTGTTGGCAGCCCTACAACAAGGGAATTAAATGAAGTACACCAAAATAAGAAATTCATCACTCCAACAAACTCATAAACGAAATACTGTATAATTCATAATGCCAATACCATTCAATTTTCACCACTTTAGCATATCATGTATTACATTTTGAGTAGCCATCTATGCTGATCATCTCAGATACTTGAAACACACTCAAGTATTAACATACAATTTTAGCCAAAGGACAAAATGCCAAAACAACAAAAACAACTCATGCAAACTCTAGACTAAGCACAAAATTCATGTACAAGCACTATATAGAGCAATTCATTGTTACAGCATATGACCCGAGATGCTTAGTATCCAACATACACCTCACAGTCAAATGGGGCAACATACTTCTCAGCAGTGTTATTTGTCACAGTGATATTAATTGCATTGTTAGGTGTACTCAAGACACACAATGAACACTCAGGGTCAGTTGTCAGTTAATGATCGTGGAACACACACGATGAATACTGTTATAACACTTGGTACCTGTAACAATCAAGCTGCACAGGAATACATGCTACGTTACCCTGGTCAATGTCATCCAGGTTCTAAGGAGTTTTGGCTACTGGGGCAGCGTCTGTGAGACAGAAAAGCAATACCAATAGCACATATCACCCATGGACTGTGCAGGCACCACCCAATCAAGACATCATACCTGTAGCTGTGGAATGAGAACCGTACAGAAGCTCACTTGATATCACATGAGAATTGGGACTGTCCCAACTGAAGGTTCTTGAAGTACTTTATCCATACCGCTATTAGCGGTATGGCTATTTGTATCCAGATGACTGTCCTCTAAGAATGCAATTTTGCAAATGGCTACATCATTAATCATTTAGCTATTTTTACATACTATTCTGTGGACAGATAAAGTATGTTTTATGCGTCAGGGTCTGTTAATCATCCAACGCAGTCACCTCTGGGCATGGGATAATCCTTATAACTACATGAACACATCAATATTTGGGCTGGAATCATTGGGAACACTGTCATAGACCTCTGTCTGCTACCTTACTTTCTGAAACTCTTCTACGTGAGGCTGCCTGAAGATGTGTTTCTAGCTGTGAGGCAGAGGTTGTTGAGCTCCAGCATACTATAGACATGACGTCCAGCTGTGGTTAAATGCTTCATATCCAGGAAGGTGGATTGGCTATTGAGGGCTGATTGTATGGCCTCATCAGTTTCTGGATCTGACTCTGATGTGTGTTTCTTGTGGGAATACCTGAAGAAGCATGCTTATGCAGTCCCCCCCAGGACTATGGAAGACCTCCTGGCATGACTTCAAGCAGCTATGACAACAATGGATAACATAACGTTCAGGTGTGTCCAAGAGAATGCTGTGTGGCAGATGCACTGCCATCTGCCTTGAAATGGATGTAGGCTGCTTCAAACACTAATTACATTTACATGGCATCCATGGTTTGATCATCTGATAGCTTGTGACACTTGATGGTGATGTGTATCTTGAAAAATAAATGTCGCAGGAAATATGCTGTACAATATTTTTTACTTGTTTTTTAATATTAAATCACACTATGGACAGCTTGTGTGCAAATTTCATTTCACCATGCATATACTCCATACAACAATAATTAGTACATAGATTCACATCTTAAACATGGTCACTGTGTAGTAATAACAGTTGCATACACAATGAATGTAGGATTAGCCTAACAATTGCCTACTGGGCTGAAAGAGAAAAATGTCTAATTATACACCACAATGTGCTGATGGGACCTCTACACTTATTAGGCACAGAAATCCCATTGCCTCAACAAACCATATTAAGGCAGCAACAAACTGAAATTTGTGAACTCATCTCCAAAGAATTGCAATGTATACCTAATATACCTAGAGCTGCAGGTTTGGAGTCATTATCAAACTCTCCTTCCAGATCATTATCTTGTCCCTCAGGGGCTCGTCTTTCTGTAGGCACCACCAGGCCACTCCCTACCACCTCACCATTTGCAGCATCCTTTGGGCTGGGGATATGATCTCCAGGAGGAATGTTCTCCAGGGCCCCTGGCTCCACTCTGGCTCCACTCCCATCAACAGGAGAAACAAACACCTGTGCACATAAACCTGTTTCTTATATTCCTCAATTTACCAGTAATGTAGCATCAAGCAGAAGGATGACTGTGACTGATAAATTGGAATGGATGTGAAAGGAAGCAGCCACCACCTAATTTATGAGACAGTCCCAGGATTTTCCTAAAGAGAATGACATTGGTGTGGTATGTGAAGAAGTTACATATACAAAATGAGATGACAGATGATCACAGCAAGTGAACAGATAAAGGTTCAGAAGGAGGTGGTCATGGCCTACTTGAAGGTTCTACCTAACATTCAAAAGAAAAGGGACTGAGGAAACCCATAAGAAAAAAACCCAGGACAGTGGACCTCCAGAATGAATTTCAAACATGGTCTTTCTAAACATGAAGCAAGAATGCTAAGCACTCAACTGCAACATTTTCTAAGTTACAGCTACATTATGTACATATGAATATGTGAGAATATTATGTTGATGATGGGTCTGTGTAGTGACAGTGATGCTGATTTACTCCAGCACTTCTAATTAATTTAAATAAGATATAAAATTTAGTGACAATGGTACAGCACTACAAATATTATGTTTTTGGACATTATCCATTGTCTTGTCTTTATCTAAAAACTGTCATATTTATTTTTCAAAACACCACGTTTCAGAGACTGGATTCTGTCTCCGTCTTCGGGTGAAACTTACTCAGTTGGGCCCAACAGGTAGAGCTAATCCCTAGCTAGCACAGGTGTCTGGGGATAAGGACTAGCTGTATCAATTGGGCCCAATTGAGTAGGTTTTACCTGAAGGAGACAGAATCCACTCTCCAAAATGTTGTGTTTTGAAAAATAAACAGGACTGTTTTTAGATAAAGACATGATAATGCTTAATGTCCAACAACATAATATTTCTATTAACTAATTTAATTAACCCAATTACTTGAATTATATTTACATTTCTTTATTGAAATTTAGATATATGGCTTATACATTTCAATGTTAAATGGGCCTTACTGTGAGTATTATTACAATATATTCCATTCTTACGCACATAACATGGCACTGTGTGGAAAAATCTAGATTTCAAGAGCTGCCTGAATGTCTAGGTTCTTAACACTTATGGGCACTCATTAGTTTTAAAGTGGGGGGATACAAAGTGGCACAGCTCCAAACTTGAACTGGAACCACCTGAACTCTTTCGGTTGGGATTGCCTGCCAATCAGGACCATGCCACATTAATTACCATGTAGCTACCTTGTTTTAAAATTACAATAATGAGTTGCATGTTACCTTCTCTCAACAGATACCAATTTTGGTAGTTATGCCATGAGAAGATACAAGCAACCTCACAACTACAACACTTTTCATCAAATCTTTGAACCATATTGATGTGTCATACATACTCCGCACTCTAAAGGACAGCGCAACACTGATATGATGAGAATTTATAAATTATGTAAATATGCTCTTTATAATTAGTATTCAACTAAATAACTAACTCTATGGAGCTGAGCCCTTCTTCAGAAGCTGCCAATCAGCCAGCCACTCATCAATTTCCCAACACTTTATGGAACACAAACGTTCATTCCCATGTTCCCTCTGGTCTCTACTCCAAGCACAATCATTCCACCAAATCCCTTTAAGATCAATTTCAATATTACCCTCCCCATGATGTAACTTCATGTGAAGTCTTACAATTCCGGAGGTCCCCTCTTTCAAGTATATTACATCATATGAAATGATTTTGAAAGGAATGCATGATGCCAAATTTAACACTACTGACTGGAGTTTGTAAATCGGGACTGTACTGGGAATTGAGTATCACATAATGCTAGCGGCCCCCTGATGGACTGCGCACCTCTCTGTGACATGAGAGAAGCCTCCAAACTGTGAAACGAGTGGGACATAGGTCAAGTGCCCTCGTTTTAGACGCATTATATGAAGAATGGTGCTGTATTAAAGGTCTCAGAAATTCACACTAACATGCGTCAGAAGTTAAACTTCATCTAGTGAAGTAAAAAGAAGTAAAATCGAATAAAGTATTAAGTGCTTACTGACTTATGTGGTTTTTGATTGACTCACTTGCCAAAGCAAGGCCTGTGTAAGACCTTGCAGATGAGTCTAGTGCTCTCCAGCAAGAGAGATGGCGCCCAACATATACAGCACTTGAATTGAAGAGGCTTCCGTTTAGCGGTAACTATAAGGCAACCCAGCTGCACCAACCTCTACAACTTAATGAAAGACGTCATCAAGGTAAGAGAGTGTCTATGTAAGTAGGCCCTCAAAGCGAGGTTTCATCACCATGTCAAAAACAATGAAGCTGCTATAAGGTGACTCTCAAAGTGCAGCTCCATCATTTTTTAACCTTAGCTGGGAAGAGACAGCTAATGGGCTCTGAATGATTGTGATTACTTGTAAGCTGCTGAAGATGAGAGTATTCAGTGTCAAATAAAACCAATTTCAAACCCAAATCCAATGTGTGATCACTATCACATGGATCCAACAGTTCCAGTTAACCTTTAATGACCGAATGTTAGATATATCTAACAGCAAGCGGCACCCCGAGTTGGCCGAATGCTATATATATCTAACACAGTACTCATGCTCTCTTTGGTAGTGCTGACAGTTTGACCTTGGGTTCAAAACAAAAACAAACCTATGTGATGTCATGTGAGTGGTTCATTCCTTAGCTCTGAACAAAGAAATCGTTTATCACGGTACTGGTTTCGATACTATTTATGTTTAGATGTGACTGTTTATGACCTGGTCAGCCAAATATAGCCCGGCTTTGTTTTGAGAACTGATGAGGAAATATTCATCTGTGCTTGCATGTGAGTGCTTCCAGAGCCTTCAAGGAAGTGTGACGCATGCAAGGATTGGTTTTCAGTGACGAATTATCAGTCAGGAAGTCAGTGTCAGATTGTCTAATATTTCTTTATCAGTCAAAAAGTCAGTGTCAGACTCATATATTTCTTTGTATACCACTTTTATTTTGTGTCTTGGAAGAGGTATAAACCCACTTAGCCAGTATTACTTTGAGTAAAAGGCATCTTGGCCACTGTGACTTTCAGTATCAGTGTCGGACTGGCATTCTTTTGACTAGTATTATAATTACTTTGCATCAATACTTTGTGAGTATTACTAATAGGTGAGAGTGTCGCTTTGTCAATCAACATAATTTATTCGATTTTGCTAGAAACCCTCCTCCCCCAAGATGATTCTTCAATCCCACAAGGCGAATATCACGGTCAGTGGCGTTTCTCAGGGGGAGGCCAAAGTTATCAGGGGGCCCAACTGAGTTGACTGGAGGTGAAACATTCACAACACTGGCCAACCAAAGGCAAACAATGACACTGTCATGTGTTTCGCTAAATAAGAAAAGCAGGAGCATGCTCTTCTATTGTAAAAAGGGTGGTGTCACTCTGTATGACGTGGACTGCTTCAAGAAGTGCCAGAGTGTATCGTAAACTGTGAAGTGATGCAGTTCAAACTTGTGTACAGTCTGAACAAAATATTATTGTGTATAGTGTGACTATATTTACAATATCACCGTGATTCAAGGTTGAAGAAAAAACATGGGTAAGTCCTCGGGAATTTCATAACATATATAATAAAGATTATATTTTGCATTTAATGACAATATAATCACAGTTAATTTTCGTTTGTAAAAATTGCTCCTTTGAGTATATGTAGAAAATTTTATTGTCTTTGAGACTGTTTTTAGTTCATATTTCTATGCTGCATAGAACGGCAACTTTCTTCTGAAAGTTTGCAATGTTAATTAATCAGGGCGATTTAAATACCGGCCACAGAGGGCTCCTGGCAATTTAAAAGTCTGTACGTTAAAGGTTAAGGTGACCCCACTCTGAATCCAGAAGGTGCTGAAGATAAAGTCACCAATTATGCCACCAGAATGCAGTGCCCTCAGCATTACAGCTACTCACTTCCTGTGCCAATCGTCGCGCCTCCTCCACTGCATCTTTCTTTGTGATAATTGTTTTGTCCCTTATTGATGTTCTTCGCACTGACTGCGTGCGTGTATTGGACTGTGACCGGTTGACACCACGTTTCTTTGTTTCCTGCAGTCTCCTTGTCTCCTGTTCACTCCGCAACTGGAGGATCCTTTCCCGTAGTTCTGGGTCCTCGCAAATATCTACACAACAATCATGGTTAAGTACTAAAAATATAAGATCCAGTAAGTGTGAAGCAATTTATCTTTAATGTATTAGGGACAAGAATAACTCACCAGCAGGTGTCTCTTCATGTTTTGTTTTGGCATTCAAGTCTGCACCATGATGTACCAGTAACTCAAGAACTTCCAACTGAAATATAACTACAGCTGCTTTAGCTATATGGAATGGGACACATAAAGCATATGCATGTATTTACGTGGTCTGACAATAAAGTTCGCGAACTCGTCACAGTAAAATGCTGCATACTTCATTACTGAATAGCACTGTGGTTCCCTTCAAAGTACTCCCCATGGGAAGCTATGCACCAATGCCAGTGCCTGGTCCACCTTTCAAAACAATTCTGGAACTGGTTTTCTTGAATGGCTTTCAGAGCTGCTGTCGTATTACTCCCGATGTCATCAATGTCATCAAAGTGCCTTCCTTTCAATATTGCCTTTATCTTCAGGAACAAAAAAAGTCATTGGGAGCTAGATCCGGTAAGTAGGGGGGGGGGTGTTCCAGCAGTTATTTGTTTACTAGCTAAGAACTCCCTCACAGACAGTGCCATGTGAGCAGGTGCATTGTCGTGATGCAAGATTCATGAGTTGCTGTCACAAAGTTTGGGTCGTTTCTACCTAACTTTTCATGCAGCCTTTTCAGTACTTCCAAATAGTAAACTTGGTTGACTGTCCAGTTGATACAAACTCATAATGAACAATACCTCTAATATCAGAAAAAAGTTAGCAACATTGTTTTGACTCTTGATTTGGACTGATGGAACATTTCTGGTTGTGGAGAATTGGCAGTCTTCCACTGTACACTTTGCTACTTTGTTTCAGGGTCATACTGGTAGACCCATGTTTCATCACCTGTGATGACATGGACCAAAATGTCATCTTGCCTCTCCAAAAGGTCTTTGCATATTTTGATTCTTCTTTGCTTTTGTTCTTCAGTGAGCTCCTTTGGGATCATTTATGCACACACCGTCCTCATGTCAAGGTCTTCAGTTAAGACTTTCCTAACTGTTTCTCTGTCGATGTCCGCTTGCTCTGTTATGCTCCTGACAGTTAGCCAAAGATTTTCATGCACAATATGATTAAATTTTGTGACATTCTCTTCAGTTCTGCTTGTTGCTGGCTGTATTGATCTCTCTTCTTCAATGACACTTTCTCTTCCCTCAGAAAAACGCGTCACCCATTTGTAAACTGCTGTTTTCTTCATAGCATTATCTCCGTAAACTTGCACTAACATCAAATTTCGCTCCCATTCTTGGAAGTTTAAGAAGAAATTTAATGTTTGTTTGTTGCTCTAATTCGGGTTTCCAACATTCTCGCGACAGAACACCAAAACACACTCAGACAATAACAGACGCAACTCAGAAAGAGACTGCCATAGATCAACAACACAGCTGTGAAATGCTGATATGCCAATGTCATCAAACCATGCTGAGGTTTCTCTCTACTGCTGCCATGGCAAGCACACGATGGTGAGTTCGCGAACCTTACTGTCAGACCTCATATAGATTTCATATGTCTAATAATTTTTTCACTGAAGAATCTTCTGGGCCCTAAACCTGTGGGAGTGAATCTGCTGTAAAAAACTCAAACCTCATTCAGTAATTTAATTCAACATCAATCAAAATTTAAAATCTCAAATAACAATTAATCCTAAAACCCTCATTTTAGAACATTCCAGATTAACTGGAACTGTTCCCAGATATCTTTGCCACCTTAACCTTACACTTCAATCACATACACTTACTACAGCTGTGCACAGTGATCTAAACCTATAAGTTTAATGTCACTATATCATATAATCACTCCACATAAATTCAAAGCAAAAAACTGCAAATGCAAGTTTGTATGAAAGGTTTTGTAACAGACAGCATCACATGTTTGAATACTGACTTCAGAGTTGCATCATGTTTTTATTTAAATACAATGAAACCTGAACCATATGCTCCCCGAATCTAATTTTCCTTAATTCTATGCATGTTTCTGTAAGTCCCATAAAAATTTCTATGGGAACAATCCTTTATTACATGTTCAAATTAAGCACAAATTGACTGGACTGTTGTGTCATTTTAAGTACTTTAACTTGGAAATTGGGTGGGGGGATTGATTTCCAGTTATACACTTTGAAATTTGGAGAGGGGGATTGAGTTTCAGTTATAACTTCCTATCTCCTCCACTGCAATCCTGTATGCTAACTATTCTATGGTTTCAAGGATGTGCCAGAAGAACACAGATATTTCCTACCTTTGCCAAGCCTGAGCAATGATGAATGACTTCTGATACTAATTATAAATGACCACATGTTCCATGTCCTCATTATGCTAGTGCTGCTTTTTGAATCTAGCATGAATTCAACTAGCAAACACTTTTATATTATTTTCTGATTATTTCATTAGAAATGACTGAAAGTTCCACATGCTTATTAAGCTGCTGTGTCAGTGGTGCTTCGTGAACCAAGTGTAAATTAAACTGCTAACAGTTTCATTTTAATTTTTGGTTTTCATCACAATGAGTGAAACAAAAAAGAGGAAACAGTTCTCTATCCAAGAAAAAACTGACATTCTAGCTCAAGTAGATGCTAATAAGGAAATACATGATGTACCTGCTGCCAGATTATAAACTGTGACATCAACACTAGACACTATTTTTAAAAACAGAAAAGACAGTGGAAAGTGCAATGCACAGTGTGACAAGTTCTTTCGCTAAGGGTAGAGCTTGAAACAGTCTTCATTTAAAAAATTGGACAGTTTGTTGGTCATGTGTTTTAAACAACCTAGAGGCAACAATGCAGTGATCAGTGGCACACTGCTGAGAGTAGAGGCTCCACATATTGCAACAAGGTTAGGCACTGAGGATTTTAAATCTTCTAACACATGAATTAACCTTTAACGTAGAGATATTAGATATAGCTAACAGCGAGTAACACTCTGATGTGGACGAATGTCAGATTTATCTAATGCAGCAAACGCACTCTCTTTGGGAGTACAGACATTTTGATCTTCAGGTTGAAACCACAACAAACCCACGCAAGGTCAAGTCAGTGGTTCATTCATTGGCTCAGAACAATGAAATCGTTTATCATGGTACTGGTTTCGATATTATTTACATTTAGATATGATTGTTTATGACTGGGTCAGCCAAATAGAGCACAGCTTTGTTTTGAAGTTGTAAGGAAGTTGCCCACAAAATATGAAGCCAACAGAAAAGCATGATTTACATAGGCCATCTTTACTGGCTATTTAAAGGCATTGGATCCCAAAATGAGTTCCAAAAACAGAAAGATCTTACTCTTCACCAACAAGTGTGCTGTTCATCCCCAAGATACAGGACACCTACAGAAAGTAAAAGTTACAATTTTTCTCCCATACTGTGACAAGCATTCTCACCTGACCAGGGACTAATCAGGACATTCTAACATTATTACCACAAGCAACGTGTATGAAAAACTATTTCTATGATGGATCACAAGTTGCTTCATGACACAACACTGATGATGGTAAATGTTTTGGATGCCCAACATATCACTGTGGAATCAAGGCACTGTGTCACACATATGTCATCAGTGAACTGTTTCCAGAAATGTGGACTCAATTTCAAACAAACTGATGATGGTGAAGACACAACAGAACTTAGCACAGCTGAAAGCAGGTGTATCAATTCAATAATGTGTATCCTGTGATGATAATGTAACATGTGAGGTGCAGACCTTAGAACAAGTGATGGATGAAAAGCTGACGTCTGATGCCCCTGAGGAGGAAATGGGTAAGGAGGAAGATGATGGTCAAGTAAACCTCTAGAAACATGGAGGGCAATCACACTGTGAAGAAACACATCATGAAGTTTGAAGTTGATAACATGATGGTTAACCTGAGCAGTACTGAGAACAAGGTGTACAGGGTTTGGCAGAAAGCAAGAAAGTAGCAACTTACTTTAATGAATATGTGGAAGAAGTGAATGAGATTCCATTTACTACAATACATTGAATTGGATTACATTTTTAATGTAATTCATTGTTAATCTAATGAACTTAATTTCAACACCTACATACACTTTCATTTCCATGATTTCACATTAATATAAAATGGTCCCTTCAGAAACATAAAATCCAGGTTTTGCTGTATTTTTTCACAGCGATATAATAAAACTTTTATAACTAGGTAAACTTAGTGGTATAGGGTCTTCCTTGAGCAAATGACAGTACCTTAGCTGATAATGTAATTCCCTGCTTTTATGAAACTTTAATGTTTATGTCTATCACGAAAGTTCAGCACTGGACCCATAGCATGCATCAACAATCAAGATTACATCAGCCTGTATCTATAAAATCCAATTTATTATTATCTCATCTATGACTAATGGTTTCTTGCCCTGAATGCAAGTACACTCACATGTCCCCAGCAGGCTGCAGCATGCACAGGCTGCCAGTCATCATTGTCTTTTACATTGGTTGCAACATTGTGATCCAGAAGGAACTCCACAACTCTCAAGTAGCCATTTGCTGCTGCAATGTGGAGCTGTGTCATAAACACGAACAAATCCATCAGCTTATGAAACATCAAATGAATTACAACTGGGTAATTATGCATTATGAAGTTCTGCCTATTCTTAACCCGCTGCCGTGGTTCGACGTGTATGTTTCGTCAGGGATTTAAATCGTCTGGGGGGGTTCGACGTGTATGTTTCGTCCAGCTGCACACCTATGTTATAACGCCCATAATAATTGATGGTTTTGCTGTAGATTGTTAGATTTTTCGCTGGCCTGTTGTCAGTGGAACAGAGTATAAATAAGACACGACTTTATCTGCGCCTAGTCATCGTTACATATGCCTGTCTTGCAGCAAAGTTCCTGTGGCTCTGGCGAGCGGTTCCTACGTCGTAGTCTTATGAAAGGCGTGTTTTCTTTGCTTTGAAGATATAAACAACAGAGACGTGATGTGTACTGTGTTTATCATATACTATTGCCCTGAGCTGGCCACTCTAACACACTCAATTGGAATTCTTAGAATAAAGGTTGTCCATAAGTTTATTCTCGCATGATCCATTGATTTCGCACAGTACAAAGGCCCAGTTCTTAGAAAAACGCCACAATTTAAGGCAGAACACTGTGGTCACCCCCTGAGACGATACGGATGTGTGTGGGGGAGGGAAAAAGAACTCATTCCTTCATGTA